ATCAAGATATATGCAAGAACAGGCTTAATGATTAATTAGATGAAACATTGTGAGTGTGGTGTACACTTTGTAATAATTCATTAGTATATTACTTGTGTGATGTATTAATGCTAACACTGTTATAATCTTTTTTTAGTATAATATGTGTGTGGGCAGAAGTGAATCATTCACTGATTGCAAACCAATGATTGTAAGATGATGTCATGGGGTAGGACTGGATAAGTCTGACTTCTTCCTACTCCATTCAAGCATGTACTAGGTATAAGCAAATTGATATTGGATTATGTGTAAAATTATGTGTGTTGTCATATCAACTGTTTCTACATGCTTGAAAGAATAAATCAAATCAAATCAAATGTTTGCCCCCTCAGTCCAGGGGGAGTATCAAAAAAACACACATGGGAAAGATTATCAGTGTGATTAGGGAACCACTTAATTCATTTCCGATATTTAATGGTTTCAACCAGTGCGGCTGAAGCAGCAGAGAGGTTGAGGGAGAGAAAGATGTACTGTAGGAGAGGAGGGGGCAGCAGCTGACATGTTTTTTTTTGGGACACACAATTTTAGCACCACCTGCCAGCACTTTTATTACAGAAACCATACCTTAAATCTGGCCAAGTAATCTCCTATGACACTTTGCTGCCAAATATCCTGAGCGTTCTTGGGTGGGTCTGGCAGACGGCTACGGTCCTCCTTCTCCTTCTTCTCCGATTCTGCCTTCAGGATTGTTTCAAGGCGTTTATACTTCTCCTAAATGGCCAAGACAGCAGAATAATAAGAACGGTTACTTGAGACTTTAATCACAAATCATTCATATGATTTGGCTCCTGTGATCATTTTGCTAACGTGACATTTCTTCAGCAATATAAAATGACATACTATCAACAGATTACCTTTTTCTTCTCCGCCAGCTCATTCCACATGCGTGCCAGAAGTCTTGTTAGTTCACTGTCAGAAAGGTCTGTTCGCTCCTGCTGCAGTTTGGGACGTTTTTCCTCAGAGAAGATGAACATGGCTGAGATGGGCCGCTTGGGTTTCTCTGGGCTGGCCTAAAGATTTCAAAACAAGATAACCTTACATAAGGATATGATAACAGCTGCATTAGAAATTACAGTAGATGCACAAATGATCTTGAGCTTTTTTTGTTTGAGATTAGAAGAATCAAGAAAGATTTATGTGCAATGCTACATTTAAAAGTACTTAATTTAATGGACTGGAAATCATAATCTGTAACTGAACAAATATGAAGAGTATACCACCTCCACAAGCTGGGCGGATGTTGCTGTATAAGCAGTCTTACCTTTGCTTTTGAACTCTTCTTTTTGGAGGCAGGACTGCTGGCTCCACTGCCCCTCTTAAAACCTAGCTTCTCCTCGCCCAAGACCCGCTGCTGCTCCTCCTCTGACAAACTCTACAGTTGACCACATAGCAGAGAGAATATACATAAGAAACTCTTGTAGCAATAAGAATAGCACACAAGCAGGAGCTCTGACGGTTTTGACTTGAAACTATGCTCAAAACGTAGCTGCATTAGAAATCAAAAAACAGCACTTACACTGAGAAATCTGTGCATCTCAATTTCATATTCCTTCTTTCTCTGAAGAAAAAAAAAAGCATATTATAAGACAAAACTGGATTACTTGTTTGCTCATTTTATTGATGCAACTCGATGATAATGAACTGACCTGTTCACAGCGTTTCTGGTAGCCGTCCTTCTCACTCTGTTTCACCAGCTTCCACCGCTGGCTACACATCACCATGCGCTCGGTGCTGGGTACATCCTTCATGCTCGACATCAACTCCGCGCAGAACATCGAGTAACCATTTCTGAAGGCATATATACATTATATTTTTAATGTTTAAGTAACTCAGTCCTAAGACAGTGGCCTGGATAATGCGTGTGCATCAATGTATTTGCAGTTGTGACTCACGGAGGGGGTTTGTCAGGTCGGCCGTCAGATTTGTCCTTCAGGTGCCTCTCAGCTTTAGTCAGGGTGGACTTCACGATATCCTCTTGGGTCATGTTTAACTCTGGATGCTGCTGGATGTACTCCCTCATTGTTTCCTAGAACATTGCAAACATACACAAAATACATTTTCAGTCATGGTACTCTGTCATTGCCCTCTATAATTTTCCCCTGCTTTTGAACATTTCACCTCACCTCATACTGTTTCTGCTGCTCCAGAGACTTCATGATCCATTTGAGTCTCTTCTTGTCTGATAGCTGCGTCCACTGTTTGCCAAGACTGTCCTTAATGTCTTTGGTTGTCGCCTGGTGTTAGTAAGAAAAAAAAAAAAGTTACATCTGCCGCATCATAAAAATGTGCATTATGTATGTTGTGGTCTTAAATCCTAAACTTACATCTGGGCGTGTCTTAAGGACGGCCTTCTTTTCATGGTTGTACCACAGCTGTTGAGGTGTCTTGGGCTTTTCTGGTACATTTGAACCTTTCTTGGTCATACTCTCCACAAGGTCTGGATGCTCTTCCCTACAATTTCACATCATAATTGAGCACAGTTATCACTTTGAAGCTGCAGGTACAGGCCTAAGGCTATATAATAATAAATATTAGTTACAGTATAAGTAATCTCACCTGAACTTCATCATGCTATGCACAAATGATTCTTTGTCTCTTAAGAAGTCGTCGACATATTTTTTCTGTAAAAAAGTAAGCAATGTTTTTAGAATTTTTGAAACTATAACAAATAGTACCATGGTCAAATTTGATAGTTTTGTCTGTGACTGACCTTCTTTTTGTCAGGCAGCTCCCTGTATTTCTTGGAGAGGATTTTAGTTAGGTCTAGGTTACTCATCTCAGGGTGCAACTTCGCATATTTGGCCCTCTTTTCCATGAAGAAACGGAAGTATGGAGTCAAGGGCTTCTTGGGAAAATCTGGGTGTTTCTGTAGATCATGGGACAAAATGTGAGTGAAATATCAAGTTTTCTTCATTGATAACGAGTTGGTCATAAATGAAGCAAAATGTCTGTCTTAACCCACCTTTATTTTCTTGCCCTTGTAAGGGTTCTTGATGTAATCTTGCGCATCAACAATCAGCTCCGTTAGGGTCCTGAATTTACGAATCTGTGGTTAAAACAGAAAAAAACATGCATGAACTCAACACACTAAATTTGGCCTTTAATCTGACTGTTGGGCACTCAACATTGATATCACTTAAACAGGCTCACCTCTTTAGAGACCTCCTGCCACTTCTGCTTACACATCTCTGCTGTGTAGGAGTTGAAGGCCACCTTCTGCCAGTCGAGGTGCGACTCTGATGTTTTGTATTTACTCACGTCTTTCTGAGGCAGGGCCACTTTCATGGCCTCCAGCAGTTTTAGGAGGTCATCCTGTGCCCAAACTGTCATGATGCAAAGACAGCAAAAGCAACACAGAACTGATAAGTACATTTAACATTTACAACTGTCTGAGCTGAGTCACAACAATAGCTAGAGCAAACATGAATATGTCTGTAATGTTGAATTTAAGGTTGCAACCTACAACTAGTTTGATTATTGGTCGACCTGTCGATTACTCTTTCAGTCAATTGCTTGCTCCACAAGACAAGAAAAATGGTGGGGGAAAAGCCCATCACATCTTCCTGAAGCTGCTGTTAGCATACAACATGTCTTCTCCAATTAACAGAATGAAACCAATGATGTTCAGTTATTGATCATTCAATACAGTGCTGTTACAATGCTGTAACAGCTAACAAGTGAAAACCTGAACTGGGGGCCTTTTTGTTTACAAAATAACTTTATTATTCATCAATTATCAGAATACAAGCTATTTAACTTTGTGTTGGCATAGTAATAATCAATTCATTGCTTTAGCTCTAGTTGAATTATCTCTTATAGTATAATGTGCCTATAGTAATGTCTGTGGGTTTTTAGTGGTGAAATCGTACTTTCTAGTAGCCTATACTGTCTGCTAAAACACACAATCAGTGTGAGAGCACATCCCTGGAGTGTATTACAGGATCAATACACTAAGTTTTATTTTCATAATAACAGACATTTGCACTAGTCTAAGAAAAATGATAATCATGTGTTTCAAAATAAAGAGAAAAGCACAAGATCCCACCTTGGTCTTGGGTAGTTGCCTCCATTTCTCCATTCATTTGTGGTTGTATTGTCTTGTATCTACAAAAGCAACAAAATACAGTGATTAAACAATCTTATTTCAGCAGCATGGTCTTTAATAGGAATATAAAATACAGTCCATATCTTGTAGGTGCATACCTAGCTGCTACAGCCAGAAAAGGTGTTTTCAAATCATAGCAATTTATGATATAGTATTTTTATGTATAACATTATTGACAATTTCTTATTGACAAAGTGATTTCTCTGTGATATAAAACTAAAGCGCTGTTTTCTTGTGGTGGAATTTTAAATTTGCCTCGACATAATGGTTTATGTTCATTACACCGCCCCTTAAACGTTTACGCTACATGGTGAGACATAGGCTATTGCTTGTGACGGCTTCAAATCTCAAATAACACTGCGGAGGGCTTAAACTAGCACAACTAGCTACGACAACAGGAGTCTCCGGTGAGCTGGAATTTAGTGTATTAGTACTGTTCGTATTCCACGACAAAAGTATCGTGGACGTACAAGAGCGACCATTTTCTTGCCCGGTTGGCTCGGTAATGGAGGATTTTCTATCGGAGCGGGGAGGATCCACGGAAGGAGGAAGCGAGTGTACGTGGACGGACAGGCAGCTGTAGGCGACCAGCTGACCACGGACGGGGGATCTGCTTTCGGTCTCCGGCGAGGGGGTATGGTGGCTTGGAGGCACGGCAGCCAAATGCGCCACTCGACAGAGTCGCCTCATCACCGTTGGATGATAGCTCCGCCATGCATACCTATAATCTTCTCTTCCTCAGACCGGAGCGAGGAAATCCATATAATATTCGCCTATAGTTAATACATGTTTTCAGAGTATGTGCAGACCGTTTTATTCAGTTTTTCGACGTTTATTATTGGGATTTTCTAACAAAACCCAGTGCATTCTTCAGCGAGGGGTAGCCGAGCTGTGCTCCCATGATGGCGGCTGCTCGTTGTTCATCGTGTCCTTGATGGCCCCGGCTCACTGTGGTGTCCACGGTGTGACCTAGCTACATCAAAACTATCGATATCACCATTTATGCAGCTAAAGAGCTGCCATAACGTTCACCTGGAGCCGCAACGACATAAAATACATCGTGAATTTAATTCTATTTTATAACATATGGATGATAAAAACGAGGAGCCAATGCATTACATGGCCAAGGGCAAATTGACATGCCAAACGAAGCTTAAATTCAAACATTTTTCTGTTTTTGTTGTCACAGTTTTCAAGACTGTTCGCACCTAACAGAGAACCTAGAGCTTATTTGTATTTAAGAATAATCTCCCTATTTCCAGCGGGGTCGACCTGGACCATGTTAACGTTACAAATCATTTGAAACGGTTACCGACTGTAATTTCAACCAGCGTTATACCTCATTTAATCTACTAAACACTCAAACGAGTTTTTGATGAATAAGTTTAAAATAGTGATAATGTCAGAGATAAATTTCACGGTGGTGGGTTGGAAGGACCTGCGAAAGCGCAGGAAGAAAGGGGAAATTAAAAAATATTTTAACCTTTACAGCATCGACCCGATTTTACAAAAGAGTTTAACCGCTCGGTGCGCGGTTAAACTGTAGAAGCCTACATTAAATACCTAATAAACGAAAGCTCAAAGGCAACATGTTAACATCCGAAGCTGAGAAGCGTCGCTGGCGCGACAAACAGCTCCAGGTCCGCCATGCTTCAGCTCTGCTCTACAAGGAAACCTACCGTGGCAAGGTCCAATGGCGCACTGCAAACTGAGAAAACGGTGCTTAAAACTAAAGCCAGGGCGTTGCAGACTCCCTTCTCTCGATCTAAAAGCGCATAAGCCAGGACAAGAAGGCGGGTTCTCCGAGCTCGGTCGTCGGTGGTGGTTCTGGGGTAGTCAGGGAGAGAGAGGGGGGAGAGAGAGGGCGAGTCTCTGCACGGTGAGATATTAAACCGAGATCCCTGATGGCTAACCGAGAGAGGCGGCTTGGCTGTTCCGCCAACAGCCGCATGGAGGTCTCGGCGCGGAAACCACCGTTAATTCCCCCACGCAGATAACCCGGTTACAGTACCAATTGCCGAGTTTCGATCAGGTGAATTAGCATAAACCAGCCAGTGGGTGTAATTTTAGGAAAATACCAGACTTACCTCCGGGTATTATATCCAGTTTCTTCCCCGCTGTAGAGGACAACAAATTCGGGTATGGCCGACCTCGTCTGTACCCTGCCACACAGCGGTCGGTTTATTTCGCTACTACAAAGAGGCTACCGACCGCTGGACTTAATACGAAAACAATAGCAAATATTATGGGTATTTTGTGGGTTTTAGTAGTGTAACGACAACCTGGTTTGTTCCTCGCGCACTCTCGCCGTATTATGAAACCGAGCGGCTGTAGGGTTGGCTTACCTGGCCCTCC